CGGGGGTTGGGGGGCAGAAGTGCTTCCCTAGCACTCAGAACACCTGGCAGGGTGTGGCTGAGCATTTGCCCTGTGGTGAGGGCATCAGCATTGGGGGTGGGGGAGCTAGGCCTTACCTCCTCAGAGCCCCTCTATCTTCCCGTCTCTTCTAAGCACACACACACACACACACACACACACAGGATTCTCACCAACATTTTTGTGACATATGCTATCATCATTTACACCTGTTTCTCAGATGGCTAAATCGAGGCAGACTGAAACTCGCACCTTCCCCTGACTCCCCGGCAGTCTCAAATCCCACTGGCTGCTGATTCCCTCTGCTGGGCAGACTTTTGGGTGGCTCCCCTCCCTGGATGAATCTCAGTGCCCTGAAGCCCACCAAGTGGGCCTGCACTCTCCCTGACCCACCATTCCCAAGACACCACAGCTGGTGGGAGGGGGGACAAGAGAGTTATCCTCTGGGGCCAGTGACCCCCGAATCTTATCAGAGCCCAAGGCCTAAGTCCCACCCAAACCCTCTGCCCCTATCTCTGGCATGGCTCATGGTTCTTCCCACCGCACATCCACAAATGGACTCCTCGGTGTGGACAAAACCAGCACAGCGTTAGAGTATAAAGCTCAGTATGCACCATACCAACACTAGATGCATATGCTTGTAGACACCTTGCCCCAGGTCCCACTTTGTGGCTGAGGCTCAGAGAGGTGGAGCCCCCTGCCTAGGCTCACACGGCTGCTCAGCGCCTGCGGTGCTAGGATGCCCATTTGACAGAAAGCGAAACTGAGACTCAGAGGGGGCGAGTCCGCGGCAGGAGCAGAGCTCGGAGGCCAGCCCGGGGTACCTTCCGATTCAGGACTCTCACTCCCTCAGTGTCTCTCACTGAGCAACCTAGAAGCGGACAGGCGCCTGAGCTGAGGGCAGAAAGCGCCCGCAGGGGCCCCGTTCGCTCCCGCGGTGTAGGAGCCCCTGACCCCTCAAGACAGAACCCGGACCCCGAACCCGGCGCGCGCTCACTTTGGGCTTGTCGAAGGCGGGCGTCTGGGTCATGGTGCCAAGCGTGCGCCCAGGCGCTGCTGCTTCCTCCGCGGAATCCCCGTGGCCTACGGTTGGGCAGGAGGCCTACCGACTTCCCCGGGACCCCGCGGCGACCGCTGCCCGCCTACCCCCTCTTAACAGGGCCCGGCTCCGCC